TTTTTCGTCCAATGGCAAATATAAAATAACCAGTATTATTAAGACTACCGACTGTTTTTTTTTCAATCTACAGTTTCGAATAACACAATCTTTGGATGCTTCGTAATTCGTATATATTGGATGTCTCACAAATTCTTTTTACTCCATATATAATATTTATTTGTCTAAATCATTTTTTTCAAATCTTGTCATATAATCCTTTTCTGTCTTTATAGGGGATTTACCTATCGATGTAAATTTTTTGGTCATAATAACGTTTAAGTTCTCTATATTTTTACCACCACAATCTTCACATAGCTGTGTTTTTCCTCGGACTGCAATATCACATTGAACACATGGTTTTGGCCCGGTACTTCCATGTCTGATACTTTGCATATGGTAACCGCAGTATTTGTTTACGCATGGTTTATTACAATAAGAAATATGTCCAATTTTCAACCAAATACACTTATTTTCTGTTTTAATCATTATATATATATATATATATATATATATATATATATATATATATATATATATATATATATATATATATATATATATATATATACATATACAAAATTTCAATTTGAATATTTGTCCTAATTAAAATGATGGAGGAATAATTACCCACAATTGAACCATCTGCTACTAGATTTGACCTTGACAGACTACAAAGATATAAATTTAGTGTTTCGATACAAGATCTAGCTTTAACAAATATAGATATAACCAACCTTATCCGTGATGCGAAAAATGAAATTCGTGAAGATGGTGCTGTATATGAGTGGTCAACTTTTAAAGTTGGAAACATCATTATTGTGATGAACGACAGACGAAGAGAAGTAATTATTAACCACTTTCATGATCAAAATACTTTATTTTAATAAAATTTATTGCGTAGACAGACAATAATATTTGGATAATTCGTGATAAAAGAGACCCCGTTCATATAACTCACTACTAATGAGTGACTGAAACTTCACTACTAATGAGTGGCTAAAACTTTACTATTAATGAGTGGTTAAAACTTCACTGCTAATGAGTGGTTAAAACTTCACTACTAATGATTGGTTAAAACTTCACTACTAACATCAGATTTTGAGCAATTATTAATAGACAAGTATCCAGCTGGTTTGATATAGAAAAAGAAATTTGACATGGGTATCCACTCTCTCCATATATTTTTATCATGTGTACTGAGCTATTTAGCCCTATGTTCTTTCACACTATGCTTACGATGTATAACTTATTCGTGATGATTCAAAGAAAGTCTTAATGTCTGATTTACATCGTTCTATGTACTTGTAATATTAAAAATTTTCTGGCCTAAGTATAAATAAGAAAAAGGTAGTTTGGATTGGAGCAGAACTGGTAGCAACAAAAATACTCTCCAGAGTATAAACTTTGATAGGGTTGTACTGAGTTTGTTATTTTAGTTAAAAGGTTTTCAACTATTTTGTATAAGAATTACAACTCTTAATTATCGATCTAAAAATCGCTAAATTAAGAACCTGCTAATTCAGTGGAATAAGAAAATTTTAACTCGATTTGAAAGGATAGCTGCGCTAAAGTGTGACACTATTTCTACAATTAATTATCTTTAATTATCATTACCAAATGAACTCAAAACAGGTTCTTAGTTATATACTTTTTTGCACGTTTGTATTGTATGGGTCAAAGGGACAAAATATTTCTCTGAAGGACTATCATGAGGGGGTATATTTAAGTTTCTGAATATTTTGAAAGTGGCATGGCTTAAAGGAATATTGTCTAGTAAATCTCAGTAATAGTGTTTGTTACTATAAAATAAAATAAAATATTGATAATTTCTTTTGTGTAACAGATTTCTCAATTCTGTGTGAAAAGGAGCTTATTTTGTTTTGGCTACATGTCTTTGAAGCATATTTAGAGTTAACTTGATCATTCATTATAGTCACACAAACACAGAAACACAAAATATGGTTTAATCATTTTATTAGAATGGATGGAAATAGTGTGTATTACAAAACATGGTTTCAAAACGGCATTACATTTGTAAATGACTTAATGCATGTGGATCGTTCTTGAATAAGTTTCTGAAGTTTTAAAATAGATTTTCTATTATCATTAATTTCATAGATTTTCAAGATGTGCTTTCAGCTTTAAAGTCATAAGAAACTAAGTTTTGTATATATGACAATACAATATTGTCGTGTATATCTATTAGAAGAAATAAAAAGGATGTACAAGTAAATATGATAAACTAATTGGAAACAATGAAGTGCCAAACTCTAGATGAAAACAGATTTTGAATTTGGCTATTCGGACGATGACGACTGATACAGTCTTTATATTACTGTTCAAAATGTCAATATTATTGATGGTTGCAGCTGAAATTACATTTAAAAAATTTGATTACAAGTGCATTTTACTAAAGAATAAGAATTAACCAAAATGAGCTCTGCTCCTTTTGTATATTATATACAGAGACAATTTCTCATACCTTTTGCATATTATATGCAGAGACAATTTCTCATACCTTTTGTATATTGCATACAGAGACAATTTCTCATACTTTTTGTATATTGCATACAGAGACAATTTCTCATACTTTTTGTATATTGCATACAGAGACAATTTCTCATACTTTTTGGGATTGTCACATAAGTAACCATTTTTATAAATGCTAACTAGCAATGAATAAAAGTAAATATAGTCATAGAGATAATTTACAATTAACAAACATAACTATTCTCTTTGGAATTAAAGACAAAATTCAGGCTGATTATATAAATAATCCAATAATTCTATATGCAAAACAATATATTTATAAATGTAGATATAATAGAGACATGCTAAGATCGTATCATTTTAAAAGGATCGATGCTTTTAACTTTAATTTAGACAAACACGGTATTATGAAATAATTCCATAAATAATCAAAGGATTAAAAATACAAGTCCTATTAACAAAAAGTCCTGAATAGTACTCAGTTCAAGTCCCACAGAGATCCAAAATTGAAGGCGATGATGTGTCTGTTATAGTCTACGAAGTACTCATGTGTCAACAGTATCATGTTAAATCACATAAATATTCCAGGTTTGATTTCAGTATAAATTCCAGTGAATGTCTGTATCCAAGAATTTTGTTGGAGCACTTTTATATTTCCTAAAAAAATAATCACTTTAACTCAATAATTCGAAGAAAAAAAAATTCAGTCCAAACTGGCAACAACATAAATAAAATTAAATTGCTAGATGCTTAAAGCACGACTGGTAAAATCCCCACAGTCACAAGATAATACAGTTCTCTGCATCACCTCATGTCACAATTAGAATTTTCTATAAACTACTATTACCTAATGGAAATTAACCTTGTAGAATGAGCATTGTATTTACAACATAATAGCCTATAAAAGTCACTTTGTAATTTCTAAAACCAACCCAAATCAACATATTTACTCCATTTTACCACAATAATAAGCCTGGTAATAAGCTTATACCTACAGAGAATAACGAAGCTATTATTAGTTGTTTACATAAATAAAATAAAGAAAAAAAAAGTCAATCAGGTCAAGCAGAAATGAACACAATTTTGGGCAAGGTCAAGTCCAGCAAACAGTCTTACATTAAAATAACATGTAATGAAATAAAAAAAAAAAAAGAATGCTAATAACCAGACACTTAAATATACCTAATAATGTACCTGGGTACAGAGCAGTTTGATATATCAATACAATCATGGCGCAATAATACCCATATATAAACATTCGTGGAACTGTGTGCTTTCGTTTCGAGGCCTATATTTCATTGTTGAATTTCCACTCATTAATTATTAGTGACGTATGAAAATAACGATAAAAGGTATTAATAATTATCATTTTCAAAGTGAATTGAATATGGTACTCAATGTCATTTCAATCCTTCTGCTTTCCGTTCCCCATCCTCCTCTCATGTTTAAGGGACTAAATACGCAGAAATCTGGACTGAGACATAAAAAGAATCTGGGCTGAATGAAACCTTAAAACTGAACGTACACCAAGTAACATTCAAAAATATGGTTCGTCGCAACGGTATGTTTACACTTTCGTAAGGATTTATCAACATTGTTCATAATATGACATATATAAAGTTGCAATAGATTGTCAACAAGTGGGTTATGAGGTACACATACCGTAACAAATTTAATACGTTGTTGTTGTTGTTCTAGTTTCTTAAACCTATTGTAATGTTCTAAAATTGGTATGAAAATGTCCAAAATCTCCCACCCACCTCCACGGCCATCGTCCATCGTAGCAAGATACATGGGAAAAACCATGAAATATTAAAATCATAAGCATTGTCTTATATTGCTTTAATCTGCCTGAATAATAATGTAAACTCAAACAGGAAAACAATTAACTTATCGATATGCAAGATAGTGAATAGTTAAAAAAAGGGCACAAAACTACATTTTGTACTGGGCACACTAGAGAGAGATGTGAGTTCATTCACTCAGCTTTAAATCCGTTCAAAGGACAAATGTGTGCATTTGCACGTGATACAAATAAAATATATGTATATTATGTACGCTGTATGAATGATATACCACTCGTATTATATTTTTTTTCATTAAAAGTAAACTCAGCAAGCCTTCTTTCTTTTTAATGAAAAATGTATACATCTAGTGGTTTATCACCGATAAAGAGCACATGCATGGACGCCTGCAGCATAAGCAAAGGGGGAAAGGGGGTGGTCACTTGACAATCCCAGAAATCATACTGCAATATAATAATAATAATATATAATATATGTATGTAAGTATGTGTGTGTGTATTTAATCATGCAAATGAAGCTGAAAATATGCCACAAGATTCTGTTCAAAATGGTTAGTAAATATTAGCTTTAGTTTCTGACTGCTTACCATACCAACTCAACTCTCCCCGCCGTAACAGATACCCCCCCAAAGCAAAAATTCCTGCACAGAGAGAGAGAGAGAGAGAGAGAGAGAGAGAGAGAGAGAGAGAGAGAGAGAGAGAGAGAGAGAGAGAGAGAGAGAGAGACCTCCGGTCGCCAGATGGTTAGGGCGTCTGACTCGGATGCGGATGGTCGTGGGTTCGATTCCCGGCCGAATCATACCAAAGACTTACAAAAATGGTACTAACTGCTGCTTCGCTTGGCGCTCAGCATTAATCGGTTAGTACAGTATTAGCACTATTCGGCGTTATGTCAAGATAATATGACTGGGTGGGATATCATCCAACATGTATGTGGCATGATGCCGCAGTGCTATACATCACTATAAACTGCCACACTGCAGATATCGCAGCGATATGACTGAAAAACTGTTAAAGCTACGTAAAAATCCATAAATATGTTTGTGTGAATGAGTATGTCGATATTTTTAAACTCTCTCATATTTTTTTGCAGAAATGCTAATTTTGACATACTGATAATTGGGATTAAAAAAAACAACACAAACGCCGATAATTCCGTGCAACTAGTTTCGCATATAATATATGCTTCTTCAGGCACAAAATGTTTTGAAATAAACGGATGACGTCTTTACAGGCTAAAATAACAATTACGTCATTAAGTAACTTCATAAGAAATTACGTCATTAGGTAACGTCATAAAAACAATGCATAATCACAACAACTATATATATATATATATATATATATATATATATATATATATATATATATATATATATATATATATATATATATATATATATATATATATATATATATATACGACAGGATCTAAAAGATACACGAGTCTCTAATGAAACCTGAATCAGTAAAATAATCACTGTCTACTCGATTTTTCTTTCATGCCAATAGATATTGTGCATGGAGACATGAACAGACTTATAAAAGAGACTTATTGGATACATAAATTAGATACTTTGTATCCTAATGGCCTTAATACCAATGTATTATATAAAATTGTATAATTTTCTTTTCAATTGTGAAATTGTATATCTTTTATAGCACTATAATTGTATGTATGACTGTTTGTCTCTATTATATTTTATTATTTGACATACTGATAAACAATTTACTTTTACTTAGTCCTAGAACGTAAGCCCCATCACCCAGATATTTTTTTTTTTTGATGGGTGATGGATCTTACGGCCTGATTAATGGCGCTGTGAAGCATGTTTTGATGTTGATTAACAGTGTAACGAAAGTCAAATTTTCAGGAATATCACACATAACTGTCAACCAATAACGACGTTTCTGTACAAAGTAAAGTTACAATGTTTTTGTCAGACTTTACTTACCGTGATGTTTTTTTTTTTTTTTCTCCAATAAATTCAAATTCTCACCAAAGAAATGGACCTGTTTTCATGTTGTGTTAGCCTATATTTCAGTTGGCAGGAAAGGGGTGAAAGCCGGGAATATCGAAATCGAGTTACGTTAAAATATTACTCTTTAGCGAAACCAATAAAAAAAATATATATTATGCCTATTGGAACTATAAGCAATGTTTCGTTTCGTTCAAGAAACATCTCCCACATGAACCTACTGGAGCATACTTCGGCATATCTCGACTACCGTCGCATTGTAACAAATTCAAATGTATGTCAACGGAACATGAAAATGCTTCCATTTGCTAATATATTTTGATTCCACCAGGATAAAGACAGCACAGTAAGTATATTAATTACACATGCATTAGTGGATGAGTGTCGGTATAGGCTACCAAGTGTGTGAGATATTCCTGAAACTTGACTCCTCGTTCCGATGTCAACGACATCGGAACTGGCTATGTAAGGCCATTATTAAAGTAGTAAAACATAACACCAAAATAAAAACAACATTTGCTATGTCTTACATTGTAGCAATATACTTTTACTATCCTTCATTTCCTTTACCTCTTTTTTAAAGTAACAAAATGTAAAAATTTTGCCATATGGTTAAAATATTGTATGTCGTCGGAAAGGATTTCGCACTGGTGCGCTTGCATACCCTAGTCTCCTGTATCTACCCAGAATCCCAGTGTGGCTTCCGAGCTGGCCGGTCAAATATAGATATGATCTTCTCCCTACGTCAATTGCAGGAGAAGTGTCATGAGCAGCAGATGCCCCTCTACATTGCCTTCATAGACCTGACAAAGGTGTTTGACCTGGTCAGCCGGAGCGAACTCTTCAAGCTCATGAAGAAGGTCTGCTGCCCTCCTCGACTGCTCCCTGTCATCACATCGTTTCACCAGAACACTCAAAGCACAGTGTGCTTCAAAGGCGCAACATCAGAGGCCTTCCCAGTTAACAGTGGAGTAAAGCAGGGTTGTGTCCTTGCACCAACCCTCTTTGCCATCTTATTCTCCATGCTCCTCCAGTACGCCTTAAAGGACTGCAGCGAGGGAGTGTACATCCACACCAGGGCAAACGGCAAACTGTTCAACATCAAACGTCTCCGTGCAAAGACCAAAGTCACAGACGTTCTCATCCGTGAATTGCTCTTCGCTGATGATGCAGTTTTGACATCACATACGGAAGATGGACTTCAGCTGCTGGTATGTCGACTATCCCACGCCTGTAAAGGGTTCGGACTGACCATCAGTTTAAAGAAGACGAATGTCATGGTGCAGGATGCAGACTCCCCTCCAACCATCACCATTGATGGGTAGAACCTTGAAGTTGTTTGAGAACTATACATACCTTGGGTCCAACATCTCCAGCTCGCTCTCCATTGTAGCGAGGCATGGAACACCTACACGAGCCACGAAAGGAAACTCAATAGCTTCCATCTGAAGTAGTAGAAGAAAGTAAGAATCCGAGCTCAACAACCCCTCTCCCCACCCCTCCAGACCTCCAAACAAATACAAAATACCTAGGTAACGTAATAGAACACCTGTTGCAATCAATAATTGCGCTAAGAATCCGAGCTCAACAACCCCTCTCCCCACCCCTCTAGACATCCAAACAAATACAATAGAACACCTGTTGCAAAATACCTAGGTAACAGGTAAAATTTAATTACATGATCTTCCAGAATAAGCAAAATGATGTGTCAGACTCAATCTTCCAAATCATTACGATTTAGCAGAGCGTGGCGATTGTGGACTAAGTTACGCATTAGAATTCCAGTAAGGTAAGTGGTATTATACCTCATTACCAACTGTTAAAGAAATATTTCATTATCATGGTAATAGAGGCTAAACTTTACTTTACCGCTCACATAACGACGGGACTCAAACAAATCTTTTATTTGTGATTTGTTAAGAGGGTATTTTTTGTCGATAAAATACACCTTTGACCGATCAAGATCAATTGTAAGTTTGGTGTATTTTTGCTGACTAATCGGACAGTGAAAGTTTTTAAATTCCGCTAGCAACTTTTGATACAATTGTTCGAGATAATTAAAATACTCGCTGTCATCAGATCTGATGAGCGAAAGTTTTAACTTGTCACGGGTACCACTAAAGCATATGCCTGATGTTTCATTATTAATTTCAACTGTCAATGGTTTGTCGTCCATCATTAGATATTTGATTTTGCTACTGTAGCTATTTGTCACTGTCAAATTTTCAAACATTATTTCTTAAGTTTAGATAAAATTTTAGTTTGCAAAGATAATGTCAAGTATAGATCTATCATCGTGACAATACCCAAGTGCAAATGTATCTACCCCATTTTCGCAATAACGTTTATCATCAAAATTGCTCAAACCGCGTTTGATAAGGACATCTGTTTCGAGCTTATGATGATTTGTCCGAATTGACATAGCTCTTATAAAACGAACACCGCCATCAAGCGCATACTTGTAGTCATCAAATTTTATAAACCTTTTAACAAAATCACGAGGCAGACCTTTTGCTTTTTTTTTTGTTATTTTATTATTGTCTAACAATACGGCATACATTTTACTACGTAATCCGATAAAGTATTTAATAGCGCTCGAGTTCATTTCATCTTTGAACTTACCAATAACCTTTTTATTTGTGTCGTCATGAAATTTACTGTCACGTGGGTAATCAGAAAGATCAAACAGATATCTATTATCATGCATATCCTGATAGACGTCCTCGCATTCGATTTCATATACGAGCGAATCAGTATCAGTAAATAATAATCTACTAGCCGGCCATTGATTTTTAACAAAATTATAATGAAAATCATACATCAGCCACTTTGATAAATCTAACACTGAAGCTCCAACGTAGATCGGCTTGTTTAGTTTTAGATTTGTTTTTCTTCTTTGTATCGCAACAAGATTCTCATTAAAAATTTTCATGCTCACAAAATCATCGTCTGACACAAGTTTGTTTCTGCGATTGACATCATTGACTAGTTCGATATTTACGCGTTTCCTAATATTCTCCATCGTCTTACCAAAAACAGAATTGTTCATCAGTTTGAAAAAGTTTTTCTCAAAATCAGTTTTTGCCGCAGCTCTTCTTGTAGTGTTCGAGTTAATATAACCTCTCATCCACGGCGACTGATTAAATTTTAGTACGCGATGAACTTTTCTCAACACGAGACCAGCATCGACTGCTTGTTTTAAAGCTTTGTAATGCAAAACATAATTACGTTTATGAAGCAAATTTGGTACTAGTTTCTTTACCATAGAATGTTGTCTTGGTAATGCTAACGCTTGTTGTTCTTTTGATAACAAACTATATTCTATAACCATCGATTCCGCACAGAAAGGGTAATCGTTATGCAATTTGTGTAGCGAAGTTGGATAATCGAGATCAACTTCAACGAAATACGAAACATCGTCGGGTATCTTTTTTTCTGTCTCTGATAGAAATTGATCAGCCGTGATCCAATGAAATCCACCAAACGGCATTGATTCTGCCATCGAATACTCGTACAAGTTATTACAATCTAGATAAACTATATACTTCGAAGGAAGGTCAGGATTATACTCTTTCAAATATTTGTTGTTTGCTTCAGCATATTTCTTCGTTATCACGCTAATACCGCCTCGGATACCTTTTACGATAAAATTGAACATATCAACATCAGTCAGTAATTCCAACCTTACCTTACTAAACTTTAACAGAGCATCCCATGACAGTCCGGGGGCAGAATAATACCAGCAAGGATCTAGTCCGTAATTATTATAACTCACTTCTCGAAAACTTTCAAAAACATCTGCTAATAATAACACGTCAGT